TCAAGGAATGGCTGCTGCCCCAAGCCAGGCAAGGAACACACGTGCTGTTATAATTCACATCCCTAGTTTTGGTATTAAGATACTATTAGGGTGGGCTGGGGATTTAGCTCAGAGGTGCAGCCCCCTGCCTTGTAACTGCAAGGTCCCAAGTTGGATCCTTGGAATCACAAAAAAAAAAAAAACAAAACTCCTGGGAAAAATTATTTGTAATACAAATTACAAAGTAATTATCTAAATACAAGGAGCTGTTATTAGTTGCTGAGAAAAAATTTAAAATGCAATAGAAATATGAAACTCAGAGGAAAGATTAAATTCTATAATTCTACCAGTTGAGAGCTTGAAGCAGGAGGATTAGAAATTCAAGCCCAGCCTGGGCAACAGTACAAGATTCCTCCTCAAAAAATAAACTGGCTAGAGTGCTGCATGCACAGAACCCCAGCTTTGGGAGGCTGAGACAAGAAGTCTGCAAGCTCCAGCCTGGAAAACTTAGAGGGACCCTATCGCAGAGTGGGAGGGTGGGGGTGGGCTCAGTGGTAAAGTGGCCATGGATTCGATCTCTAACAATACGTAGGTATGTATACACTCTTAGACCCAACAATCTCACCCCCAGGACTATACAGTAAAAATAATAGGGTAATATATAAGGATATAGAGTGGGAAAGTTTATTACATCGCTTTTCCTCATGACAAAACATCCAGAGATACAATCAATGTTCATGAGTAAGGAAATGGCTAAACACACTTGTGATCTAGCCTATTATATAGTTATTTAAAAAGAATGAAAGTGAATTAGTCCACGGGCTGGGGATTTAGCTCAGTGGTTCCACTGCCTGCCTCTCAAGCTCAAAGACCCAAGTTCAATTGCTGGTACCAAAAAAAAAACAAAAGTGAATTAGTCCAGATAACCTGGAAGGATTTTCATAAGTTTCTACTGAGTAAGGAAAGCGAGATGCAAAAAGGTATGCATTGTGTCATTATCGTAAAATAAACAAGAAGGAGTCCTTGAGTGGTTCTGCCTTATTGAATTGATATAATTGCCCATTGACCATTAGTACTGTAAATGGGAGTACAACAGGGCACCCCAGAGAATTCCTTAGGTTCTGTATAGAGTCCTTCTGGTCATCACTGTGCAACAGCAACTTAGTATTTCCTGGGTGATGCAAATAAATCAGCCACTCCAGCCACTACCATCATGCTATTTCTGCCTATTAGTTCAGCAGCATGAGAAATGCCAAATAACCTGTTATTAGTTTCATAGAACCATGACTTTATTCTCTAAAAGAGAAACTTCCCTTAGGAACTAGGTACTCCAAAGCCATGGAACCCAAAGCCACAACCACAATAGAAAAACATACCCTATATGAGTTGTTAGATGTAATCACGAATAACTTCCTCCCCCATTCATCTTGCCTAGGGACTCTGTATTTTAGCCTTGGAAGCAGTGGCTTCTCATATGGGTCACTCATTCAAAGAATGGATGGTTTCCTGTGGGCTGTACCTCAAACTTTCAGAGAAGTACCTCTGAACCAGCACTGAAACAGATTTCTGCTGGCCATTCCTTTTTTTTTTAACCAAGCCAAATGCCTCTTGACAGAGAGGCACATAGCAAGACCAAAGAACTTCATGGAAGTGAGCCAGTGGCCACACTGCTTTCACGCTAAGACGTATACTCAGGGTGAGGTAATGTGTGTGAGACCGTGACAATAAGATAATCTTCCTGCTGCGGAAGGCAAATCCCCATTGGTTATAGAACTATTTCAAGGAAAAGCATTGCCCTGTTTATAGTGGAGTCTAACAGCATCAATCAGCTCTCAGATGGCTGGCTCGCCCTCTTAGCAAGCAGTTGCACCATTTAGGGTTCAGAGTTGGTCCCTGCTGGAGTAGACTGGGCACTCAACACTGGCTCTACCTAAAGAAGGAGGTGTCCATGTCGCTAAAGTCCAGGCGCAGTCTTCACTCCTATAGCCAGGGCCACTTTGCACAGCAAGGAAGGCGACTTAAAAAGTGCTGGCTGACATCCAGAAGAAAAGTCTTCCTGTCCACAGGATTTCTGAGAGCCTGTTTTGTAGAGGATGCCCTCTGGCTGGCATTTACCTCTCGGGTGAAGAGCTGCATATCTAAATTATAAATCTAATGACTTTAAGTCTCTTCTACTTCTTTTATTCAACAATTTAGTACAGGTTTTTAATTGCCTTCTGCTTCCGGAGAGTTTTTTCTTTTGTTCTGGCAGCGAGCCTTTAATCTGATTTAATGAGGGGAGAGGGATAATCATTAAATCCTTTGATCTTCTCAAATAGATACCGTCCTCGGGGGTAGCCCACCTTGACGAGGAGACACCTGGCCAGTTTAAGGTGGATTTTGAGATTTACATAGAAGCATATGCTTGTAAATTCTAAGCACAGAAAGAGTTTTTAAATAATCGTACAGTTAACTTGAGGAAATAAGCGTAGAAATGTTCAGACTCTGGATTACCTGAATTTAAATTGTTGTGAGAGCTCCAAGAAAACAATCCCCAGGCTCAAAAGGCAGAGTGGTGTAGACTCTGAAGCTAGATGGCTGCATCTTCCATGTGACTCTGCCATTTCTTAGCTGTGTGAAACTAAGTAATTTAGTGAGTTTCTCCCTGTGTTTCCTCAGATGAAAAAATAAGGATAATAGGAGCACTTTCCCTATCGGACATTGCAGGGCTTATGCATTATGGAAGTACTTAAACACAGTGCCTCCCTCACAGAACTACACTAGAATCACCAGCTATTGTCACTTGGCCAGTTTCTGCTGTCATTAATATCTGCCCGATTTGTATCTACTGCATTCATCAGAAAACGCCCTGATGTTATAACTACAACTGACCGGCTCGCTCCAGTCATATGGGAAGGAACTTACAATAGATAGATCTTGGAAGAATATTATAAGAAGCTGAATATTACCGTTGGCCTCGCTGTAGGTGCTTTTGGAAAGTAGGTGATACTGATATTTGTCCTTTTTAATTTTGAAAAATCCACGCAAGCACCTTTGGATTTTCTGTATCCAAAGAACTGGTAATAATTAACCACCATCTTTACTTCTGGCTGTCCTACATAACTAAGTGTAGTGCTAATTTTCTCCAGCCCTGGCCAAGTCCTTAACACTACTTGGGAATTCTCCCGGTGATGTCCATGTAGTTCCCTTTCTCTTTTTTCACGACTAACTTTATGGCTCAGCCATGGACCCAACTCCTGTGCCCTTAGCTTCTTTCCCATTACTGACACACGTTAAACGGCTTGCCGATGCTGATCCATTTTAACAAAATAATTTGTTTCTGGCTTTTTCTATGTTTCACAGATTGAGAGACCAGCATCTGATACCATTTATAAGATCTGCTGATGAGCACTTTATGGTTGGCTACAGAGTTATCTTTTACATCTTGATTGATGACTTCACCAAGTTGCCTTATGTAGAGCTGGGACCTCGCCGAACATTTAAAGTATTCCCTCTGTTCGATCATCAAACTTGGCAAGGCACTGATCTGAAATGCATGAATTCTTTGGATATATACATTACAGATTACATGCAGCATGAAGTCAACTTTCTCTTCAACATGACTATAAATCAGATGTTCGAGTATGACTTTGGAGTGGAAACCCTGGGCAGGTCCGTAGCTCAACTACATGTGTGGTGGTATTTTAAAAGCACTCAAGAGTTCCCATATGAGAGAAGAGCTAGTTCAGCAGCTTTCATCCCCTTTGGAAAGGGAGATTTTTATTACCATCACGCCATTTTAGGCGGGACACCCCGTGAGGTCTTAACCCTCCTTGAACAATGTCTACAAGGAAATACACGCGACACCACGAACAAGCTTACCAGTTTATATGAAAGCCACCTAAATAAATACTTTTTTGTCAATAAACCCACTAAGCTGTTATCACGGGAATACAATTGGGATCCAAGTTTTAAAATTCCTCCACAAATTAAACATGTTAAGATAGCATGGCAACCAGAAATGTTTTGATGGAGGTTCTACTCGGTGTGTGGATTAACAAGTGAATTGAAATAATCTCTCAAATATGAAAATGAGAAATTTTCCAGTTTTTTAAAGAAAATAACAGAGATGTACCATTTTCAAAATAAATGTTTTCTCCTTGCAATTTTGAATTGTTTAATTCTTCCAAGGTTGGATTATAATTTAATGTGATATTACTTATATAACATAATGTAATACAGAAATAATATAGAAATACTTTTGGAGATATAAAATGATTTTGATGAAGAAACACACAGACTCTTGTTCAGAGAAAAACACACACACATGCAAATCCATTGTCAAAGGAATGTATATGCAAGGGAAAGAATAATATTCATCAACTTTTTCATCAGATATTTACTGCTTTTCAGCGTTGGGACATAAATTGCTTGTAATGAAACTCCTCAGTCAGTATTCAATCTATTATCTGACTGAACTTAGTGAACTAAAGACATTCTACCAAATATGTATCTTACTTTTATTCTTCTAAAGATAGATGTTACTTTCATCAGGAAGATGATAAAACACAATTTGTCCTTAAGGAGTCTAAAGCCTAGCAAGGGAGATAAGAATATTCATAAATATTTCTTCTGCTAATTTCAAAGTGGTATAATTGTTCATAAAAGGGACAAACCACCTCTTAAAAATATGCAGTCATCACAACTATCTCATAAATAATCTCATAAATTTGGTGCAACCTTAGAGTATCATTGTAAGAACTGAAAGTTCTAAAACCACAGCGAGCTATTATTTTTATCCTCTTTTATGGAATAAAACCTAATGTTTAGCAAATAGTTTTTAAATGATAAGTGTTATTGGCTGTTGAACACTAATCTGTGAGAAATATTGATGGTGACTATGGCAGGCAGATCTATTTCTCCTAGCATCCATGGTGACTTTCTTCCAACTGTTAGACTATGAAAAGTCACTTTCATGACTAGGTGACATAAGATTGAAGATTCTGTCTTGTAGACCTTTTCTTGCTGCCTTGGATGCAGCAAGCTGCCATAATGGAGAGGCAAGAAACTGAACACAGCCTCCAGCAAAGGAACAAAAAAAGAATTGAGGCTCCCAGTCCAACTTTCAAGGAGCTGAACAACACTAACAATCACAACAAGTGAGCTTGGAAGCAAATACTTCCCAGTCAAGTCTTCAGATGAGATCCCATTGCTGACACCTTCATTATAGTCTGAGACCTAGAGGCAGAAGATACAGTTAAGCCATGCCCAGAAGCCCAACCCAAATGGTGACCCATACCAAACTTTGCTAACCCTATCCATCTACAATTAGCTGTAGTAGGCAGCCCAGGTAGGTGCTTCTCTCCCTTTGTAACACTGAAGAGACTGAATAAAAAGCCATCAGTACCTGGAGAGCAGGCCCTGGGAAACTCCTCTGTCCCACAGGCCCAGCATCCTCCTCCTACCACCTAGTAGCACTGGCAAGCTCAGGAAAGCTCCTTCCACCCTCTTAAGCAATACCAGCAAGGATCAAGCAGGAGATCCACTGGCACTGCCTAGTGCAAGGAACGGGCACAGGGAAGCACTCAGTGCCCCAGGTCCACCTACTCCTATACTCCATCTAGCAGGGCAAGCCTCAAAAACTGCAGTCCACCTCACAGGCAGAATGGGCAGGATCAAGCAGAGGTGGTATCAGCTGAACAAAGAGGACCAGAACAGTTCTGACTGGGCTCTAGATCCATTTGACAGGAAGTAGGCACTATATTAGTCAGTGTTTTCCAATGGAACACAGCCAACTGGATGGAGATGTGCCACACACAATCCATGCACGTACACACGTGTGTGCACACACACACACACACACACAGACAAGAGTATATCTGTCATTTTTTAGTTCACCAATTTGAAAGCTAATCTCTTATAGAAACACCTACAGAAACAGTGTTTTACCAGCCATCTAGGCATACTTTAATTCATCTCAACCATTACAATTCCATTAATATGACATTTTAGGGAAAGCAAAACTATAGAAATAGTAAACAGATCAGTGGTTGTCAGGAGTTTGAGGAGGGTTATATATGTGATTTTTTTCAGGACAGTGAGATCATTCTGTATGATACATTAATCCTGGGTATATGCCACTGTGCATGTGTTAAAACTCATCAAACCTGCCAAGTGTGGTGCACACCTATGATCCTAGCATTTGGGAGGCTGAGGCAGGAGGGTTGCCATGAGTTGAAGGCCATCCTGGACTACAGAGTGAGACCCTGTCTCAAAAAACAAAAAACAAAAAAGCAAAACAAAACATAACATTTGACAGTACAGAATGAACATTGAACCTTAATGCATGATTTTTTTCCCCAAATCATATAGCAGGTTCAGAGACTGCCACACAGAAGGTAGACTGTGTGACAAAAGGATCTAACTGTATTGCAAATGTATGAAACGACCTCCCTGAAGAGGTCAAGGATACAATGTGCTAATCTAACTTTGGAAAGTAACTTTGGAAATGAGTAGAGCCCAAATCTAAAGATAAAAAGAAGTGTACATAAAGACTAGATCTAGTTGGTAACCTGTTCCCTGTGAGGGTGTAGGTCAACAATTCTGAAATCACTATATATGGACATGCTAGAATTGAACAATTAAGTCCATGAATGGTAGGTGGCGAAAGCCATGGTTCTCACTATTGGAATGTGAAGTTACAAGCAAGAAGGAGGGCAGAATGATTCTCACTGTAATAGATATTTGAAGATATCCTATAAACTCATGTCTAGTTTAATTTAGATACAAATGGATGCATGTAGAAATATTTATAAGTATATGTGATATATGCAGGTTAGTAGAAACACATACATTTTCTTGTTCTGACTACTGAGGGGCACTTAGAAGCAATGACACTTGTGTAGCAACACGTAGACCTAGCACCTAGGTCTTGGCTTCTGATATGTTCTTTAATTTAAAAGAAAAACAAGGGCTCCTTGGACAAATGGCTGATTCCAGAGCATATGTAAGGAATATACAAGATGATCCTAGTGCCAGAAGGTAAGGACATGCTCAAAAAGAATGAATGACGGGGATTAGGGGAGCAGCTCAGTCACAGAATGCTTGCCTAATGTGCACAAGACCTGGGGCTCAATCATAAAAAGAAAGAACATACTGATGGGACTATGCTCAAAGAACACAGTAGCCAACTGAACAGCTTCCAATGGGAATATGAACAACAAAACAACATAGTATTGGATTCTAACCCCAAATATAAGATCTGAGAAAATATATAATTACACAAGAATTTTAAATAACTTATAAGATACTCTACCCTAAGGAAGGGTAGAATAACTCCCCATTCATTAACTGTGGGATGCACATAGTGAATTCCTTCCAAAGCTAATATAGACACAGAAGACATTGTGTGGTCTAGGCTGGCCTTGAACTTGTAGCGATCTCCTGCATCAACCTCCTGAGTGAACTAAAAAGTGGAAAAACTAGTAAAATATCTCTGCCAAATGATAAAGGTTAGTTGGCTTAGTTACTTCTCTTGTGTCTGAGACAAAATGCCTGACATCCAAAGTCAAAGGGGGGAAGATGTATTTTGGCTCACAATGTGTAGAGGTTCCAAGCAGTTTGTAGAGTCTCCAACGCAGGTTGGCATAGCAGAGGAGCAGCACAGAAGAGAAAAAGTTCATGGTGGGCAGAAGGCAGGAAGGCAGCAAAGCAGTAAGCGTCCAGGAAGCAGCAGCAGCATGCCTCTCTGTTTTATCCCTTCCAGGCTACCTACCCTTTGGATAGTGCCACCCACACCCAGGGAGGGCCTTCCCATTGTCCACAGCCAGAACTGTGCCAAACCAATCAGTGGACTAATTTAGCAATCACATACACTTAATCCCAGCATCACACACTAAATACCAGGATCTCACGCCCTAGATCCCGCTACCTTTGAAAAGCCCCAGCTTTGATCAAATGAGGCTTTGGGAGAACATATAGATCCAAGCCATAACATTAGTGAACAGCAATAAGCTACATTGATATCACATATCCTTTCTTGGAACGTCACCTTATTCGGAAATAGAGAAAAGGAAAGATTAGTTAAGATGAGGTCTTAACCCAGTGCAGATGGTGTTCTCAAAAAAGACAAATTTTGACACCAACACAAAGAGAGAATGGCTACATAAAGAGAGAGACCAAGGTACCAATAAGTGAAGCACTGCCAAGGTTAGCAGATTAATGGTTGTCAGGGGTTAGAGATGGTGGAGATGAAGGGAAAGATAAAGATATCCTTGCATTATTAAGTGACACAGGGTGTATCATCTTCATGGGACTGGAGTAGTTCTATATCTTGGTTGTGATACTGGTTAGAGAAATTATAGATGTGATAAAATGGCATGCTCTACACCACTGTACCATTGCTACTTTCTTAACTACTAGGAGAAATTGGATGAAGATTAACTATAACTCTCTGAGCTATCTTTGTAACTTCCTATAAACAAATGATTATTTTTAAGTAAAACATTTTAAAACATGTCATAGTGAAGTCTTACATGCCCACCATCCTTAGAATTGCAGACTATCCTGTTTCCTTCCTATCCCTTTTCCTAATTATTCATATTCATAGCCTATAACTCCATTTTGGATCCTAAAGTGTTATGCAATATTAATTATTTATCTTCCCCCATTAGAAGCAATCTCCACAAGGGAAGAAAATTTTCTCTTTCCATTGATGTAAGCCTAGCACATAGTAGGCAATCAAAAATATTTACTGAACAGCCGGGCATGGTGGTGCATGCCTGTAATCCTAGCCCTTGAGAGACTGAGGCAGGAGGATTGCTGTGAATTCTAGACCAACCTGGGATACATAGTGAGCTCCAGTTCAGTCTCAAATACATAGTGAGACTCTGTCTCAAAAAACAATAACAAAAAAATTTACTGAACAAACAATGCTTAGCAAAAACACCTGTGGAAGGACATATACTGTTTGCTACCATTTATATAGTACTTTAAAGCTGAGAACTGGTACTACAGATTGTTTAGGGACATATAAAATTATTAACATC